GTGCAGGCGCCTCAGCGACAGTGCAGGCGCCACCTACCCTCTCTCAGCGACGGTGCAGGCGCCACCTACCCTCTCTCAGCGACCAGTCGACTCCCATCTCCAGGGCCTCCTCGAGGTCTCCTGCATTCATCGGGATGACTCCCTTGCTGCCGACTCCGACGGGGATGTGGTCAAACAGGCTCTGTGCTAGTTGCTCCTTCACCGGCTGCACATCCTTCTCGGTTAGGTTCGTCCGCAGTAGACGCACCCCGCAGTTAATGTCAAACCCGACGCCGCCTGAAACAAGTGAACGTGCCAGCGGCGATGGTCAGTGTCGACGAAACAAGTGAGCGTGTGAGTGGCAACGAAACCAGTAAACATGTCCGTTGCAACAGTCAGTGACATCGAAACAATTGAACATGATCATCAACGATGAAACAATGGTAAAAAATGCAAATCGAGGAAAACGTTAGATAAGAAATTGTTATACAATCAGTGAAAAGTAGTCAGCTCTGCCATTTGATATGCAAAACATAGATAACTCTATTGACACCGGTGACAACTGTAGGTAAGATCCTGTAGTGACGGGACATGACTGTTCAGCAAATACACGCGTTGTGTTGACAAATAACATACACAAAGTGTTAACAACACTTAAACAAGGTGAAGTCAGACCTGGAGAAACAACGGCCAGTGGGTCGTTCATGTCAAATGCCGCTAAGTTGCCGATCGCAAAACCGTATCCGGAATGTATGTCCGGGAGACCGATCGACTTCTGAAAGAAAACATGCAAAGGAAAACACCATTACATCACTCGACAACGAATGCAGACGACATCATTTCTTCAAAACTATAAAGCGTAGACCAATGAACGTGAAATTAAACACCTGCCGCAAGTTTAAAAAAATCACGTTACAGATCATACCCAACATTATTGAATATTTATTAAAAATATTATTGCTGCAACTGGCGATCACACCTCATTACAAGCACATGTTCAGATAATTAACAAAAGTGATGAATGTTTTATATATGATCGTATACTGTATACGCGGTATATTTCACGGTTGTTTAATTTTTGCGAATTTCGCGAAAGGCGTCCCTGACCACGAAAATATCAACACGCGAATAATTCACACCGAATAATGCCAAACATTTCATAATTCACCGACCGTGAAATTAACCACTCGCGAAATTGTCCGTCAAGTCTGAATTCGCACAAATATCTGTTTGCGAAAAATATGGCGTATACAGTACTTGATAGACCAGGAGTTATATTGTATCATTGCACATACATGTATGATGCCAGGCAGTGCAGCGACGTTCCCTATCTGCTTCAGGCCTGGCAGAAAACCTCCGACTCCCTTGTGATTGCTGAACTGCCGTAGTTCATCAAACATCAACTTCTCTAGATGCTCATTCACGTAGAACATACCTTCCACCTACGAAAACAAGACAGAATTATATCATGAGATACGTACAATCAGCATTATTATATTCACAACCGGTGTCCGAGTACATGATGGAATCGAACATTTACATGCTGGAGAACAGTAAGTAGGTCTTACTTATTGTTGTCCAATATGCAAACACTTGCATTTACTTATTTAATACTCACTTAACTAAGCTAGAGAATGGTAGTCAATATGGAATATATGTAGAATACAAAAATTTTAACACGTAGGAATTCGATGTATAGCACTCATGCAGTGACTTACATTCATGTTCTTCACAAATCCCTTCTTGATTCGCCATGAGTGCGGTGTAAGCTTTTCCAAGAAGCCAAGCTCTTCTTGGTATGTTCTAACTACCTCAGTCATATTTCAGGTCGAAGGTGTTGTTGATGACATCAATGCCTCAATAACAACACAAACCTGCAATAACGTGAGGTACAGCAATGTCTGCATTAGGAAAGTTCTCACCATCAGGTTCAGTCATACGTTGGGACCCCATTAAATAAAACGCCACAATTCTCACCCTAGCTCTATAACGCTAAACCATCCCCAAGCCACATCTAACCCCAACTAAATTCTAAGTCCGGGTAGGTTGGTTTTTTTACTAAATGTAGATACAGCAATATGTTTGTGTTTGGTAAGCCTATACTCTTGTGTTGGGTTACACTATTATATTACAGTTACTGCATTTATACTAAACCATGTACTAGCCCAGTGGTTCCCAACCTGGAATCCCCGGACTACTGGGGGTCCGCAAAGGTAGTCTGGGGGTCCATGAGCTAAATTCTAAATTTCAAGAGGCACCAGAGTAAAATGTATAATTACGCATCATAAGGCTGCTAAAGATAAAATCGTCTTGTTGAGTAGTCAGACCTATCAAAAACCTAGGGGCCATTGTCAGAAATACCGTAAAGTTAATGTTAATGTTAAAGCTAAGATAGCACTTACGACTAATATTACGACTAATTTTGTTTCTGATGATGGGCCCCTGGGGTCCGTGGGAAAATTAATTTAAATAAAAGGGGTCCTAGATGGTGAAAAGTTTGGGAGCCACTGCACTAGACTGACCCTATATATAGCATCCTATATATATAGCACCGACTCCTACGGCTATCAACAACGTCTAGGATATACTCAACATACTAGGCTACCTCTATGTGATTATTATGTGATTATTACGTCGTCATTGTTTGTATATAGGTGAACATTTCTATGTACATCAATAGAGGCATATGATTTGCGCATGTATTATTATATTATAAAACCAAGCTTATGCTCATTAAATAAGTTCATTCGGTTGGTAGAATAATATAAATAACCAAGTTAAT